CTATCAGACGCCATTAGGTGGTACTGGTTAAATATATAAAAAGACAAACATTTTTCTGCCTCACTGTCTTCTCTTTGCTCCAAGATTTAGAACCATGTGATAATTATGTTCCTACTAGGAAATGTTACTTTTCTTGATCCACTGACAATTGAACTCTCTCTTTTCACTTTCCAACATACACATGCTCACATGTCTTCCAGAAACCTCCACCTATGAAGTAAGTTGGGCTTTCTCTTTAGTTGTTCCAGCTCAGTGCAAGGCTGGCTTGAGCTTGACTATTAATACAATGCTTATACTTACCTTAACTCCTAGATCAAAAAGAAAATGGACATAACCAGGAGACATTAAGAACTTTGTTTCACTACAGTCACCATAAAAGAGAATAAATAGTTCATAAATTTTGTATGGTGCTTCTTAAATGTTTACATATGAATGTTCACCCACATAAAATGCATGCAACCATAAGGTACTTTCACTGAGAATCCAGTTTAAAGTTGAAGAATTGTAAAAATGATCTTAGTCCTGGATATGACAAACTACATTTGGCAGCAAGATAGGAGGTTTTGAGGAGCATGGAGCTAACTCTTAATTGCTGTTGTTTCCTATACCTGGGGCCCTAACAGGTGCAAATAGTGACCCAAAAAAAAAAAAAAAAAAAAACACTATGAAAGTATAAAAATATATTTTTGTAGTAAAAATACCAGCCTAACAGTTTTATATATTTATAGTAGAATTATCAGCAATAAATTTTATAGCAAAATGACCAACAATACATTTTATCTGTAGTTAAAGCTATAAGACTATGTTCAAAATACTTAAATTTTAGCATTTAAATAACCAATGCCACTGAACAAAATCAAACAACCAACATAAAAGAATTCTTTCAGAACATTAATTCATATAATACCCTGCAATTTCTTAAATAAATCAAACTGTATTCCAAAATATAATTTCAACAAAACTACAACTTAAAACACACATTACTGCCTCTAATAATTATGTCCACACAAACATGTATATGCACGAAAGCTAAGTATCACCTACCATTTATTCAATTGCAAGAACAAAATAACATATATCATATTTTATTACTTCAAAGATCCCAAGAAAATTAAGTTTCAGCATTAAATGACCCATAAGGAGTTGATATGCCATTAAACAAGTCAATCATAAAAATGATCTGAGCCTTGTTATGAAAAGCAATAGAAATATGATTAATGAAAAATTAAAAAATGACAATTTTTCATCTAAGAAATTTGGACATCATCAGACTATTCTGGTTTTTACTACTAGCAAGAAAATGAAGGAAAAAAATAGTTGTTTCCTTTATGCTGCTTTTTATTTTATTTATTTGTAGAATGTAGAATTTCGGTGAGCACATGCACATTGTAGCATATTTCTTGATATAATGATATGGTTTACTAGTCTTTGCATTGCTGATTCTAAGCATCATGGTGGACTTGTGGCCGACTTTTGTAGTTTTCATATGTGCCTGTAAAGGAATTAGTTTTGAATGTAAAGAAAGGTTTTCATACATTAAGAAAAAAAACACAATGTCTGTCACGTACAATGTTTCCAATCTCACCTGCACATGAAACCATTTTGGCTGTCAAGTCAATATTGTAGTCATCTATTACTGTAGTTGATACACTTTTCATTCTTTTTCCATCACTTTTGTCATTTTCTAAGAATATAAAAAAAAAAAAAAAGCTTTTTTTTTTTTTTTTTTTTTTTTTTTTTCTGTTTAGTCTGTGACAACGAAAGGCCACTCGTTTTCACTACATTCTTATAAAAAGATCAGTAAAAATGACTCCTTAAGATGACTGGTTTCTGTTAAGGTTGACAATAGGTGTAACAGCTTTTTGTTTCTCCAGCCAATAATGGTAAAGTAATTCTGAGAAAGGAGTTGGCCTAATTGCACATTCACCTGTTTTCATCTAGGTTAATCATGCCATTTATATGAGCAGAGTGTCAAGATATCTAGCAAAAAGAAAGAATGCATGGATAGCAGCTTCATGCCTTTCCAAAGTGTTTAAGTACAAAACAAGTCTCAAATGGAATTTCTGTTCATTTATCATAAAATCAGGAGGCTAAGTCACAAGTTTGAATACCCATTTTATTCAATATTAATTTACACCAAATTTGATGTTTATCCTTTTCTCTTCTCCCTCTCCTTCATTTACTTTTTTTCTTTTTTCTCTCTACTCTCGTGTTTCAATAATATTCCTTTCACTCTTTTTCTCTCCTTTTCTTTATATTTCAATCTTAATGTTCTCCTTTCCTCATTATCCTTATATTTCATATTTCTTTCTAAACTTTTGACTGTTTTCTCTCTCTCTCTCTATATATATATATATATATATATATATATATATATATATATATATATATATACACACACACATTCTGCTGGGGATTTTTTTTTTTTTTTTTTTTTTTACTAACTTTTTATTAATTTTTCCAGATGCTATTTAGTTTCTTTTGCCACCACCTTGTTTAACTTTTTTGTGCACTCATATTGTACAAATGGTCATTATCTTCTGCTGCTACTGGGTGTCAATTTTTGTTGCAATACTTTAAATTCTATTTTTGAAAAGTTAAAATATATGATAATATTATTATATTGGTAACTTGCATTCATTACTGACACTCCCTTTTTCAGTGTATTACCATGCTATAAGCATTAGCAATGTATTTCCATTTTTTTATATATATATATATATATATATTTTTCATTCAAACAGGTTTGGTTAAATATGTCTAAATTATTTAACAAACCTGTTTGAATGAATGAAAATATATATATATATATATATATATATATATATATATATATATATATATATATATATATATATAAAATATATATTTTGTCAAATAACACTTTGAGTAATAACTTTTTTTTTTCTGCAAAAACAATTCTAGATAAGATTTTAAAGTTTGGTCTTAAATCATTACTTTTTTTTTTTTTTTATAGTTGCCATAATTACTTTTTAAGAAAAAAATGACTCAAGCTATATAGAGAATCGTGTAGACATACTAAAATAGAAATGGAGACATTGCTTATTTATAGCTACTTGTACAATAAAAAGAAAACTTTCTTCCATTTGATTAATCCTACATAAAATCTTCAGCTAGTACATTCATCCCAAAAAAATCAGTCACCAAAATCTCTGAGTTGTAATAGTCTGTAAATGGAGAATTTTGAAATAAGGAAGTTTTTCAGCTTGTGCATCCAGTCAGGGTAAACAAGTTTAATTTAATGAGTGCTTTGACACACCTATGTAAACATTTAGGAGATCAGTAAATGTTTTTGGTGAAAATCACAGATTCATTTATGGAGCATGAAGTTATATGGTTATAATTCATAGACACCGTTTTCATATTTCCATATTTTTTTCCTTCCCTTCCTATTAGTGGTGGCAATATATATCACAGTGTTAATATTTCTGTCTATGCCTTTATTGGAGCGTCTTAAAGGTTCGTGTGTGTGTGTGTGTCTGTATTTAGGCAGCAAATTCTCTTTTACGCATGTCTTATTGAATAATTTACAAACATTATGTCTGCTTGTTTTGATCATAATCCAAATATTTTTCTGTATATTACAATTGGAATAAGATGATATATTGCTTTATTCAATTGTAATATATGGAAAAATATTTGTGAATGTGAAAAGATTATGATCAAAATAAGCAAACATAATGTTTGTAATATGTAATATATATAAGTAATTTTTATATTTTATTTCAGATATATAAATATTGTCATCAGAAATTCAAGACATTTTAAAGTTATTGACTGATGGAATGCCACAATAGATATTTAAAAAAAAAAAAAATCACAGAACATTAAAAAACACTGGAAAGATAAGAACAATAAAAAAGCACTTGGTTTTAAGAATATCACAAAAATAAATTTGAAAGAAATGAAAGGCAGTAATAAGAAAGAAAAGTTGATTAGCTAGTAAGGAAATATTTGAAGCCAGTTTTGCAAATATAAACAAAAAAAAAATGTGGAAAATTAAGAACATTGGTTTGAAGGCATGAAAGCAACTAAACTACCACCTTAAGTAAACATCACAAAGGGTGATGTGGGTGAAGTGCATGAAAGCTGATTTCTCAATATTAATATTTATTGATGGATATAGAGCTACATTGGAATGACATAACTCAGTTAGAGGTTGGGTGCTTCATGGAAATATCCAATCAACACAAAAGACAATAGTAGGTAATGTTTTAGGTGAGTAATTTAGACAATATGAGAACAATGTCAGACATTTTTTAAGTGTTATCACCAATTTTTTTTTTTTTTTTTTTTTCAACATTTTGCACAGTTGAATATTATGGGCAAAAAATTTTTCAGACACCAAATTAACAGAAAAATGGACCCCTTGCCTCTCTAGATAATCCAATAGAAAACTTTGTGTCCATGACTGAAACCCAGATATTTGGAATGCAATAAATCTGTTCCAAGTCATGTTAGTTGAAATAACAAAAATTATAAATCAGTGGGAGAGGAAAAAAAAAAAAAAACGTATCCTGCCAAAAATTTATTGTAAAATGTAACCCCCCACACTTAACAAAAATGTTATCAATATTTTTAATAAGGGTAGATATTGTCTCATGTGAGTTTCATTTTCAAGGATAAAGTCAGAATGGCTTTCTCTGATGTTTACTTGGATGGATAGATATTGACTTGCATAATAAAATCTGATGGTATTCCCAAATTACTTTTAAAATGTTTCTTTTTTTCAGTCTCTTATGATATTCTTCATTTTGGTGAGACTAAAGGATTTGACCTTTTGATATTGTAAACTTTGGATTACAGCCAGAATTTGTAGATGTTATTTGGAATGTTCCTTATCTATGGAGCGGGGACAGGGGTCATGATGTACAACAAACAAAATTGGACAGTCCATTGTTGATATATTGAATTAGTTCATTCATAACTTTTTTTAATTTCTATGAAAAAAATAAAACTTATTTTTGTCTTTATTTCAGATTTAGAAACCTGGCTTTACTCAGACCCCTACGAATCCGCTGTTGCGGTTGGAAATTCTACAAAACGTCGAAAGAAATCTACTTCAAGGGTTCAGGTAAAATTCTACTTTGTTTGTCAGGGTATTTGAGTTGTTTTTTTTTTTTGTGTTTTTTTTTTTTGTGTTTTTTTTTTTTGTTGTTGTTTTTTTGTTTTTTTTTTCCTCTCTGTAGTCTATTCCTGCCTTCAAAAAAATCTTAACAGTTGTCTCATAGTACCAATTAATTTCTTAATAAGTAAAAATATAAGTGAGCTTTTTTCCCACCCACCAATATAAAATGATTTGGACCTTATTTAAAAAACATTTTCAATGAAGATGATACAATTATCTTTGAAATTAATATTTAATATTCAAGTGGTTTGCCAATCCCACTTAGAAGCCTTCTTTTTTCTTTTTTTTCTTTTTTTTCTTCATCTTACAGTGAAGAGAACTATAATGCTTTTCTAAGAGAATTAGACCCATCTTTCTCTCTCTCTCTCTTTCTCTCTGGCTCCAAAAACAGTAACAGTAATACCTTATTTGCAATAAGGCATTACTGTTTTTATGCTCACAGTTGCAAGAAAACACTTCTAGTTAGTTCTCATTAAAAACATTGTCTTAGATTAGTCCAATTATTCATTTGACTTTGTCATTGATCGGCATAGTTTTTACATCTTGATTGAACTACAATGGAATCAAGTAGTGTTATTTTCCCTGGAGAGAGAGATATACTTTAAGGAAAACCAAGTGTTATATATACTGTTAATATATAGATAGAATGGATTTGTAAGTGGTTAAGTAACGTCATGAAATTATGGGATGCATTCTGTAGGACAGAGAGGCACTTTCATAAGCAGATTATCTAAGGTTGATCTATAACTTTCCAGCATTTTTTATAAATTTTTTCTTCGTAAGATCATTGTGATCAAAATAGCTTCACTTGTTTTCACGACTTTATAGCACCTTTTAGCTGAATTGTGTATTCCATCATCTAAGAATAATTCTCATTTAGAGTTGATTAATTCTTCATAAGAATATTTCAATGTCTTCAACTTATTGATCTGCTAACAAATCAAAGAGCGTTGCATGGAGAAAAACAATAGTCTGCAGATGATAGCTTTGGAGAATATGCTGCATGCAGAAGAACTTCCTATCCCAGCTTAATGAGATCCTTGGCAGCATCAATTTTGCAACTTGACATGCGTTGTCAATTTCATTGCCAAAAAAAGATATTTAATTCCCCCCCCAATGCATTATTCAAATAAATTAACTGTTTCACTTCTAATTTTACAAGTTCACATGTTTGTATTGCATCTTCCTTTAAAAAAAAAACCCTCCCATTCATTAGTTTTTGAATTCTGAAATCTTCCAGCTGTCTTTGATTTTAAATCTCCATTTATAAGATTCAAAAACCATTCTCAAGACATGCTTGCACCAGTTGCATCCTCATTTTCAAAATCTACTTCGATTCTCATTGCCTTGCTTCAACTGCACTTTAAACAGTGTACAAAATGCATTTTATATTCAGCCATGTTTCTAATGAGAAATAAAATAAAACAATCTTTCTCTCTCTCTCTAGTTTACTTTGATTAACTTGAGTGATTCAACAATGTTGATCTTGGTCAGTACCTAGATGGGTGATGACTTGGGAATACCCGGGGCTATAAAGTTGGATGTGTGGTTGGTGTAATGAATATCAGTTTGGAATTGGAAATCTGAGAGCAGAGTTCCAATTCCAACTTGGTTCATTATATTCATTTACACGCAAATACTCTTGGGAAATGTAAGAATCCACCTCTTTCTTCCCTCCAGCTATGGGTTAATATTTAATTTTAGGTGTATTCGCTAAATAAAAACAAAAATTTATTTAGAGGAAAAAATAACTCATCGATTTCTCTTATTTAGAAGAAATTTATTTGCAAAAAGCCAATAACTGTTGACTGGTGTACCAGAAAAGAATTGTCATATTTTTACATAAGGGGTTTCATTTTTTAGCTTTTTAAAAGCCACATCATAAATTAATTTTCTCTCTCTCAAATGTGTTTTTCAAAGACACAAATTTTTAAATATAGATAGTTTATGCGACGATTTCTTTTGTATTTTACCAATTTGTTAATAAATATAGTAGCAGTTTATAGTTGACGATTTATTCGAAAGTTTAATAAATAAACTTTACTCGAAGTCATGAATTAAATTCTATGACTAAATTACCTTTTAAAGCCTAAAAACTGACTTTAGGTAAACAATCCCTTACCTTATTAGCAACCCCAATTTGCAGTTTTGGGGTTTTCAATTCCAGTGGTCTTCACGCATGTATATAAATTTTTTATTACCCTTGCCTAAAACCAAATATTGACTCTTTTCATACCTGTTAACAGACTTCCACAATGACAGACATTTAAAAAAACAATTCTCGAAAGTTGAAAGGTATACAGGGCGTTTATTTTATCGTAAAAAACTTCTTGCAAATGTTGTATTTGCAAATGCAACATACTAGTTTGTCAAGGAAACACAAGTAATCTGCGAAGTCATTTGAAAAGATACCACAGGAAAGAATATGACGAAATTCAAAAGAAATTTGATAACAGTGCCAATGTTCAACCTAATACAAGTAGATTTGTATCGCTACAGGTAAGCATTTTTGTCACTAATAATTTTCTCGTTCTAAATGAATGATAAATCAATGAGTAAGAAAGAAATTGGTACAAATATAGAACAGGGCTCATAGCAGAACAACCCTAGCCAATATTAGTGTCGTAAAAGACGAATATAACTAAAGTGTGGCACTAGTTCTAAACTAATTGTTTTTTGAGCTCTTCAGTTATTTTTTGTTTTTTTAAGGAATGCTCCCTTCAAATTAGCAGCAGAAGTCGGCTTCATACACTCTTTGATCTGTTTTTTTTTTTTTTTTTTTCTTTTTTTTTTTATTATTCCTGGAAAATGAACTTGTTTTTCATCTGAATTCTTAAATAATTTTCCTTTACATTAAATTATTTCAGGTATTTTTCAATAAATATGTCGCAATGAGATAAAAGTAGAGCTTTTATTTTAATTAAATGTGTACTTAGCTTTTCAATCTAAGAAGAGGCTAAGTATTTTTTCATTAGTTTTTGTTTTGCACATTAACCCCCAATATATGCTGAACTATAATTTTCTTCATAATTTTTCAGTAAAGAAAAATGAATTTTACATTTTTGGAAAGAGAATTCGATGACGGAACAAATGTAAAAAAAACAAAAAAAAAAAAAAACGATATTACGTCAGTCAGTAGGTCGTCTAACATTAAATTCGAAAAACTGAATCAAAAAACTGTGGTATCAAGGGGTGGGGGACAGAAACTGATACCAAGACATAAATTGCCAAACTCTAGAAAGAAATATGGCCAACATAGGTGTTTCAAATAAAGTTACAGAGGTGTGTGAAAAATGTATGGTAAGAATGGAAAAAAACAAACGCAAAACAGGTTCCAATTGATGGCAAATGTTAAAAATAATCTAATTTTAATTAGATTTTAAAATAGAGCATCAATTTCTTGGTGAAAGTTTTTGGACATCCCCTGACATTAATTTTTGAATTAAAATTAACACTGGCATTTGAATACCTGAACTATTCAGCAATGGCTCATTTTATTACAGAGGTAACACAACTGCTACTCCCAACTCACTAAGAAATATATTTGAATTAGTCAAAAACATTTCAATAACCAATGAATGAAATTGTTAATTTGAGCTTTTCTTTTCAGGATCTCATGAATCAAACTTTAGTAAAGAAACATTGAAATTAATTTAAATATAAGCATGTGTACACATACTATTAGTAAGTATATACATACGTACGTACATACATTTATTCATTCGTGTGTGCGTGTATTCATGTATTTTTTTACAAAGTCTTAGTTGTATAAAGTTTTGAATAAAAAACGTTTTACTGATTGAGCTAACTGTGGATAATTGAAACTAGTTACCAATTCCATGGATGGTGAAGTCTTCAAGATCAATGACTCTGTAAATGTTGAGGTCCTGCTGTATATAAAAATGAACTCTACCATCATTTTCAAAGCAGCTCAGTTCTTAGAACCAAACAACCAGACTATCCACACATATGGTTTGATTATAATAGTGAAGGCTTTTGCAGAAACAGCCTCATTTTCAGAAAAATCAAATACAAAGGACATAATATGCCACAAGATTCCCAAACGATCCTACTCAGATTTTAAATTCAGAGTTGTCCTTTTAGACTGGTTGCCAAACAAGGCCCTGTCTATGCTGCTATTTACCCAGAGTTTGTAGGGAGAAGAGATTTATTCATGTCTTGTAAGCATGTATAATTCATTCAGTAGATTTGAATCTTTGATTCACATAAGCAGTGTACCACAAAAAAACCTTTCAAAATATAATTCAATTGAGTCTTTATTGACTGTTGTCACTCTAGTTCCCTATTAAGTACATTCTTGACAAAAATTCTGCTTGCCTTGAAATGTGTTGAAATCTTGTAATTTTTATTTATTTTGACAAGTGTTATTGATTTGGAAAACACACACATACTTTTTCTCTCTCTCTCAAATTTGACAGTGATTCAACTTTTTTCTTGGATTTTTATTCTCATAATAAAATATTTAATTATCTGTACCATTTTCTGCTATTTATTAATGTTGTTAAGAGGCCTTTTTTTTCTTTTAAAGCTCTATCTACAAGATGAAGCCATTTTAAAATTGCATTAAGATAATTCCAGAATTATTGATTTACCTAAAAATAACTATAATAGCATAAAAAAAAAAAAAAATAGCATTACAAGAAGTATCTGTTCTATTTTTTATTGAAGGAGCTGAATTTTGTCTGAAAAATCAGATACAGAAAAATTTTGACACCTTCAGCAGCCATTCACAATAGGGAAGACCTTGGCACATTTGAAAGTGACCAGAAATCTGTAAAGTGATCCCCTAGGTTAATCATGATAAAATATAGGAAACAATTGTTTGTTTTGAATTCAGTAAAGTAATTTCCTTGGCAACATGCAAGAAAAGAATTCTGGAGACCTTCAACTGTCATTATTTTGGAGCCAGACATAATGAAACTTGG